TTGTCGCATTTTCCCGGTGGCTAGACAAGACCGGGAGAAAGATTAGGGTCGGCCTAATGAATTGTTAGTAGAATAAGCCTTCAAATACATATTTGAACTGAACTAGAAGTTCAACGTTTCATAGCCAATGTAAGTAGCTTATTTTAAGAAAGAGTGAAATACTTACGTCAGGCATACAACTCTAGGTGAACGACTTTTGCCTTCCGCACGACGCTTGAACATGTGCACAAAACCACGGTATCGCAATCTGAAAACCGTGATCGGTGGAGATCCGGTGAGATAGGCAGATTTCATTCCTAATTGCACACTATATTTATGCGGCTCCACACTAAAATGTTTTTTGCTTTGTGTTGCAGTTGAAATGCTCGTTCTGCTTAACAGAAGTGACTAAAATCCTCTACAGAACAGTGTCGAAATGCTTCCATTTAAAAAAAAAAACATTTCTTACATTGGTCATTTCTTTATTAGAAACACAGTGCACGTACTGCATCGTCCAGACTAATTATACATATACTCTCGCATTAAAACAGGAACTTGCAGATGCCGTCAAGCGCTCGATCAGTTCGTCGTCAAAGATAAAGGACAAAAGTAACAGATGGTCAGTGGATAATTCGTTTTGAAGAATAATCTTTCTTACAGTAGAATGAATGTCCGCTTTTGTACTTCGACGTATTATCATGACCCCGAGGAATAACTCTCCACTGAGATGCCCATCTTTATAAACGTAGACAGATCATCCGTAGCAACCATATCGTTCGTCTCTTAATATAATTCGTCGTTCAAGACGTACTGTAGCAGGCAGTTTGTTTTTGTATGTAATTGGTGTCAGCTAGCGCGTGCCCGTCTTTAAACTCAGAGGCACAGTCAGTGAGATACCGTCGTAAAAATACAGGTTCTTCCAGCAGAATTATTATGCCACACCTCTAATACAAAAATACCCCAGGCTTAAGGACGTTCGCGCGAAAATTTTCCAGTCGATAGAGTTTTTCAAAATTTTTACTGCAGTCAGATAATGAGCTACTTGTGTCAGCAATGCGAAAAAAATGGGGGGTCATAGAATTCGTTTCAGATAAAATGTGTGGAAAACTACCCTGATTTTGAAAAATTGGAGCACGTAATTCAACATGGTCTACTGGGGTATATAGTTAAAATATCGAAGATGAGTCAACGGAGACAAACGATCTCAGTCATAATGTGTAGAAGTAGGTCTGTTGCTTAAATAATTCCAAATGTTGCCAACGTTTTTACAAAACTTAACCCTTCAAGAGGCATTTGAAACCGCCGCACAGATAAACAAAGAACTCTTCTAGTCGATAGATTTTCTTCATTTTTTTGCTAAACGTAAAAAATCGGTAGAGAAAATGATCCATCAAAAGAAAAATAGGTGTCACCGAACGTCCAAGATCGTTAAATCTAGGTAAAGCTATAGCAGTGTCCATCTGCCCTATGGTGCGCGCTCGATACATGACGCGGCGTGTACGTGTGAATTTGCGTGAGCAGTAAGGATGCGCAGAAACAATTAGCGGGAACGTCCTTAAGCACGGAGGAAAGTCTTACGTCTCCCCAACCTTCGCATGGAGGCAACAGAAAAAAGATTGACAGTTTTTACTTCAACTACGGGGATTTGGTTGTCATTTTTTTCGGAATTTCTTTTGACCGGTGGTATTAATATTTCTAAAACGGTTTCATTCTCAAGGAAAACCTGACTACACACTTTCCTGCTCTGAAAAAGATATATGCTGGCATAACTTCATCTACAGAAACAAAAAATGACAAAAGAATGAATTCACACAATCTGCAATTCGAAATTTTCACGGAATCAAATAAGCTTTCGACAAGAACCGACCATTTCAAACCATTCTGGTTTGTTAAAATCTTTATCAAATTGTGTTAGTTCCGCCTGGTATCCTCATTTTTAATAATTAAAAAAATGACCTTCACTTTGATGCGCTATATCCTACCCAAAACACGACGGCATGGCAACGGCAACGAGAACGATCACCAAACCAAGAACGTATGAATAGATCTACACGAGAATAAAACTACACGCGTTCTAGGCGCCTGTGTACATTTCGTGGCTGTCCTTTGTAAATCAACTACGTGAATATTTAATTTCCAAGTGTTTTGGAGAACGTGAACCACTACGGCTAATTTTTCGTATTTCCGGCATTTTTGGAACTGAACGCATTCACAGGATCTTCAGCAGCGTCAAGGGCCGTAGTTAATAAAAAGCAAATCGAGGCCTTTGCCTCAGTCACTTTTTTCGTTTTGTTGTTTATAGCGATCATAAACACCCTAAATACTTAGAAGGGAATTTAACCATGGACATTGCCTTAGTCGTAGGTTTTTCATGCATATTGCCTCGGTCTCAATTTTCCTCTGGTTACGGGCCTGATAACTGCGAAATTCTGAAGTAAAATACAAAAGCATTTTCTAATAGGCGTCCTCCCTTAGTGTATTGCAAGCTGTTAATCGGCCATGTTAACGGGGTTTGGTTTCCCTGTTGGTATAACACATCGATTCAAGCCTAAGGGAGAAACGTTTAGCACCTCCAAAGCAGGTAAAAGGAAACCATTTTTTCTAGATCTGTGAATGCCAGTACCGAATCCTTTTTGCATAAGGTTCTTAAATCTGGGGCCTGAACCACATTCTGAAGTTAATACAATTCAATGAAAGCCTTCTAACGGTACCTGGTTCTTGATTCACCCTTTCAGTATCTTAACAGCGTGATCGACACATCGCGTTCAGCTTCCCCGGACCGCATGAAAAGTTTCATGTTACCCATAATGAATCATTTTTACTTAGCTGTAGCTTTTTTCTTTTTCATGCAGAAATTTCTGGCCATTATGTACAATGAGCTTACTTTGGGTTATCGTATTTCCTTAGTTTTTAACGCTATCTTATATAACTCTCCATAAATTACTTTCCTTGACCTCACAACGAAAGTATTTAGAAGATGGAAGATAAAAAGGTCATCGTTTTTCGTTTGCTTTTCTAGTTTCTTTCAATCGTCTTTTATTTCAGTTCTGCTGTGCAAGATTTCGAATTCCTGAAAACTCTGCACTGTTTAAGTTTCGCTTCGCCACACCTGAAAATCTGCACACGTGGGCGCACACAGTCTCGTGCATCAGTACAACAGACTCGTCTGTATTTTAAATGCAATCAATAATAATGTTTCCGCCGCATGTTCTTCAGAGTTTTCCGTGTTCCGGAGGTAAAACTAGTCTCGTCTCGCTTTTATCCTAGATACGGCATCAACAACGAAAAAAACAGAAACCGTTTTACGTTATGTTTTCGGTTTACTCACAAAAAGCTGTATCATCTGCACAGTTGTGTATTTGTCGTTGTCATGGAGATCCTCGAAATGTCGGAAGAAATGGTTACTTATCGAACCCCTAAGAGCATTTGTAATTAAGCTGTTAAGTTTCTTCAGGTTGGAAATGTTTTTCAACGATTTTTGAGCCATTTTAACAGTGATTTACACCGTGATATCAAACAGACAAAAAAAAATCACCCACCAGCTTCATCCGGTCTGTAAATCATTTCAGAGTTAGACGTTAACCAATCGCATCTCTAGAAAAAATACTTAACGCATATGTGTAGCTAATTGGTTGCTGTAGCCTTGACCCATAACACTCGATGCCTTTCTTTTTTTCGGTCGGTATTTCAACCCCTTTGGAGTGTGAAGTTACTAATTACCTTAGTATTAGAAACACCTTGCTGGATTTAACTAGATTGAGAAGCCGCCCCAAGTGTAAAGCGACCTGCTTATGTCCTGTTTGGTAAGTTGAATATTTTCTGGATCTTCAAAGCAGCTTGCACTGGTTACTTCAACCAAAGAAAAAGTCTAATTCGCGTACAATTTCGCTAAAATTGGCTTAAGATCATACGTGCTTCAGACAAACAAATTTTATTGCAATTGAAAGATCGAAACTCGTGAAATTCAGTCCATGTGAAGGTGAAATTGAACAACAAGATTCTTACGACCGAATCTGATGAACTCTTTGCTAGGTTTCCGGTCGTGGCTTAAAATGAATAAAACACTGCAATTCGAAACTTTTACTTTATTACTGTGTTTGTGCCCTTCGTTCACACGAAGACCGATATAAACGAAAAAGAAACATCTCCAGTTGCGTTTCTGGTGTGAACAGCATTGAATTAATGAATACATATATAACCGACGCTCAAGTCGCTTTACGCATGCTCAACTGATATCCGTTTCGCACGGGCAGGCCTCCTAGTTTAAATCCGTTTATCATCTACGTATGGAAAGACGTAAATGATCGCCCAACTCTTGCGGACGCAAATCAGTTTAACAGATGCGTCTAGACGTGGCCTCTGACATGGTTTATCCACCATATATAAGATGGTATTCCATGTTCTCGAAGGAAAAAAAGAATGCTCGCTTGAGGTCTAGAAAAACGCAAGGGCGTCCTGCAGTTTTTCTTGGCCTCAAAAGTGTATTATTTTCTTAGAAGACATAGGCACACCATCTTCTATTTGGTTTAGAACATAAAATAAAAAAGCGAAATATTTACATCTTAGAGAAGCGGCGGAGATTGTAACTATAATAAATAAAGCACACTCAACTGCTACAGTGGGTGTACAGTGGTGGGTGTACAGTAGTGGGTGTACTGCATTATGACTAATATAAAATAAAGGTGTACTTTGAACTCTGCATTTTCCCGTTTTATTAAATAAACGCTTTTTATTGAAGGACAATGCAGTAACCCGTGTGCAGAAGTCTTACATTTCCGTTGCAACACAAAGATAGTACATCTGCATTCCAGCTAGACTGCAGCTGCAAACACAAATTTACTAAAAACAGTAAAATCTAGACAGAAGATATTTTTTGCCTTAGCAGTGTCTGTTTCGGAGCTCTTTTGTTCGAGATAACTTTGAATGGTACAGTTGAGCATACGTGAAAGTCCACACCAACCCGTGGCCAGTGTGAATGTGAAACTGAAATACTGAGAATATCGTCTATTAATAAGGTGAAGTATTTTCGACTGTCAATATGATCGATGTATTTGTTCCGGGAGGTTGGAGAGAGCTCCGGTAAAAAAAAATAAGGGCATAATAGCGTAGTAAAATAATATGTAAGCAGGGAGCTTTAACCTACTAATTTCATTGCATCCTGTTTGCTGTGGTTTGAACATCAAGTCAACTTTGAACTTTAAGCACACCGGATTTCACCGGCAAGGTACGTGTGTATAGATCTTAAAGCAGTTTGCAGAAAATATTCTGTTTAATTCAATTCGATTCGATGGGTAGTGCGTTGGTTTTTGCTGACAAATTCTCCTATCGTGATTGGCCATCTTGCTCCAGGGCGTCCCGGCTCTACATATCTGATTATCATCTCTCTTGGCTACAAAATCTTTGCTTGATTGGGCGTGAAATTTTCTAAATTAAATCAAATGCGACCATGAAATTGCGGATCAACGCAAACATCGGGGTGTTTGTGATGTTTAAAAGGTAATTTGCAAGCTAAGCCGGTTCACACGAATATCAAATAAGCGGTGCAAATTCTGAGTCATTTAAAATGTTTTTACTAAATTGCCTTGAACTAGAAATCTTTAGTCGATTCGATGGTCTCTGTGGAAGAGAGCCAGCAAATTAAACCGCGCTCGTGAGCGTGGGATTTCACTTTTCAATTGCTATTTTATCACCTAAAATCGCTCTAAAAGGAGGAATTGAGAATAATACGATATCCTGCCATAATTTTTCACGTCAAAAAAGGGAAGCTAATTTATAAGCCAAATGGACATTTAGCTTGTATCAACCAATATCTTGGTGAGAATGTTTAAAATGTTTTCTTTCTTTCTAACCGCAGGGTAGTACTTCCAAACCACTTTGCTAGCTTCACAGCAGTAGGTAACGTTTTCCTGAAAATTATCATCCATGTGACAGAAAGTAAAATCGCTGGTCCACAGTAGTGTTGACTTGTTATGATATGTCGGCCTTATAAATGCAATAACTCAACCGTAATCTTCAAAGTAATGCCTTCAAAAATGAAAACAAAATTGTGTCCAGTGTTCTTCGCTTTCTTACAACGATTTATGACCTATACAGTCTGTGTCCGTCTTTATAGGAAATTTTTTGTAAGAGAGAATCATGAATTGATACATAGGTAAAGCACTTGAATTTCTTTCAGTTTTCAAACCCAGCTTGGAGGAAACATTTTTAGTCGGCAGTATAAACATAGACATCTTTTAGCTTCATTTAAATACGTTTGAATGTCGTGTAATCCTACTCAATGAAATATTACCTTCTTCATGTTTTAACAACATTTTAGCAATTTGAAAACATTCAGCCTGAAAAAACAACCCTTTTCTTATTACACAGTGTATATTTTCTAATCGTAACGTTTATTACTTGATATATATTGTTATCGTGTTTTTATTCGTGCACTCGTTATACACATGTTTCAGGAGGCCAATTGGACGGACTTGACATCTAAAATTTCTTTGGCCCGAGGGAATCGTTGAGACCTAATACTTAAAGCAAACTAGAGAAAATACTTTGTGATTTTCTATGCTAGAAAGGAAATTTTAAATTATTTTTTTTTATCTTCAACACTCTTGCAAAGGGGATCTCGCATCAAATGCCTGCGACATTTAAAAATAAAGTAAATCTTTACCTGCGTTCGAGGCATCTTTCGTTTCAGTTATGTAGTCAGCTCGTCCTAGGTCTGAAAGCCCAAATAAAGGAGGTCTTTGAAAATATTAGAAAATTTCAGAACTTCCGATGGCATTCTGATAATGATAAATTTTAAAACGTCGCCACAAAAAAAACAAAAAGCACGCCTTGATTTTAAGCTGAAATTCACCCTAATTTAATATCAAAGAGCCCGGTTTTTGTCGACAGCTAGATTTCCCGCCCTTTCTTAGCTTAAATCACGTCCCCGGTGAGAGAAAACGAGCAAAGGAACAAACAAGCGCAGAAATTAATAAAACTCCCCGCCTTGTAACTAACAGGGTATGAAAATTCTCAGTCCATCCGTCACATTCAGTTTCATTTTAATTCCTAGGTATAAGGAGCAAGGCTTCAATACAATTCATAACTGGCAATTAAAGATTGTTGCATGTTACCAAAATTTTTCAAAATTTTCAAGTCAATGTATTTTCCAAAAATATTCCAAACAATTTCGATTTGATGAGAGACAATGTTCTATTTAAGTTTTCTGAAGAAAATTCTGCCATCTGTTTGGGGTACAAGACTTGGTACTTGAGCAAACGCTGCAGTATGGTAAATGGAACACTTATTTTCATTCGGAACATATGATTACTTTTTTGGAAGTTCCGTTTCTGACAAAGTGCGTCGACTGAACTAAAAAGGTGCTCCCCATTTACTTCACAGCCGGTATGGCCGGACATTTTAAAGTGAGAAACAACCAGCATATATGTTACTTATAACAATATACATGTATACATAGCAGCCACTGTACAGACCTCTGCAGAAACGAACTAAAGTCTTGGCACGGACTTAACCCGTTATTTTGATGTTTTTCATCAAGAGGGCGGATAAACATAGAGACTGGGTATGTTTTTTGGTAATAGAGTACGTGAAAAGGATTCCGTGACAACAAATGATAAAACAAACCATAAAACTTACTTAACAAACAGGCTGTTGGCTAGTTAGGTTTCAAATAATAGTTAAGTGGCTGAGACGGAAACCTTTTAGAATTCCTGACTATTCTGTAAACAATTGACCACGAGAATATATTGCTTTATTTCTTCTTAATTTTTTGTTCATCAATATTCATTGTTAATTTTCTTCTAACGAATATCCATTATTCTTCAGCTCAGCCTCAAAGGATGTTGAAACATTTTTCAATCACTATTCTTAAGAGATGATGAAGGGTATAGGTTTTAATTAATCCCCCATCTAAGCCCTATTCTCGAGGTAATTCAGCTCAAGTTATTTTTACATATGATATCCGGTTATTCTGTGGAGAGTATTCATACGACAACATTGCCTAGAGTATTCACACGACAGTGTTGCGTGGAGGACGGAAAATCTGTGTGAGTCTGATAGGGTTGTCCAAGACTGTTTCCAGACTCTGAAGCCGAGTGTCATCTACTGGAAAATAACTTGAGAATAAGGTCTGTTTGGCGAGTGATTCTCTTATACCTCATCCTCCTTAGAACTCAATATTTCTTCATGGTTTTAAATCATTATGTAATCATGTATATTATTACGCTTTTAACCTCGATAATAATTCCGAATTGCTCTCTTTCAAGCAGAGCTTTGGCTACATTATCCGAACCTCTGACAACAAAAGAAGAGAATACGAAATTGAAGCCTTTGATCCGACACCATGTCAGAGTACCTGGGAGACAGGTCCTACTCGTACTACGGCGCCTCCATGTTCATTATCCTGACACTTGGTCTTGTCGGGAACTTTTTGACCGTGGTTGTCCTTTTTCATCCGCACCACCGCCACAAGAGCATGACCTCGCTGACGATCAACCTGTGCGTAGCAGATCTTCTTGTGTGCCTTTTTGGTTACACCGTTGCCGTCAACTACAACACGGCAGACTTTGCCAACGCCGGTGAAGCTCCCGTTCTTTGCTTTTGGCTGGCTTTCATCAACACAGTCACTGGACTTGCATCCATTGGGACTTTGACTGTCATGGCTATGATCACACATATTGGGGTTTCGAGAAATGAGATTGCCCAGCGGAGCAGGATGTCTCGCAAAACAGAGATCTTTGTGCTTTCAGGTAGGAAGCCGGTTCAGCTCTCACTTTAAGTTATGAAACTAATGGCATAAACGGAGTAACTAATGATCTGGATACCGGATGCATCATGAATCTCGTATAATTTTCGTCGAATTTTACGGGTCTCGTAGTCTCGTTTTTTTTCGCTGTCATCATGTCTTCATATCGCAGTCTCGATTTTGTGCAAGGCTAAGAAAGTCTCGAAGTACCGATTTGTGTTTTTTTCTTTTTTATTCAATCAGATGACGTCTGAATGTCTTTGAACCTGAACGTCTCTAGCTGGCATTGAAAACATTTTGAAGTCTCAGTTTCGCAAATGAAGAAGTTAAAACGTCTTGGCCTCGCAAAGAACCTCGCTAGTCTCTCCTTCTCACAAAGTCCTGAAAGTCGCAGGGATAAAAAAGTGCTGAAGCTGAGATTGATCAAGTTTTTCAACGTTTCCTTTGAAATCTTTAGTCCTCGATATCCTTCACTCTTAACAAGCCCATTTATCCAGCATTACTGGAAAGTGAACTCAGTCGGACAATAACAACCATTATTACTCTCAGATTTAGCAGTCTTTTCCTGTCGTTACTGAAAGAGGGTCGGTACATTCAGCAGGTTGTTCCTAACTGAAACGCGTATCTGGATTAACCGATCCACCTTAATGAAGCCGCTGCAATTTTAATGAGGAGAAGTCTTGGGAGGTTCTCTTTCATTCATGTGAACATGTAGACTTAAGTTCGGATTGTCGTCACTTCGTTCAGAGAGCACCAGTTACTTTCGCCGGGAGGAGGCTTGTTCGAGATTTACTAACAACAGTTCAATTAATTTTGTCGGTACTTTTGCGGGGTCGCTTCTTAGGACTTAACGCCAACTCTGTCACACCCAGTAGTGTTAAGTTGTTCCCCTAAAACCTAGTATACAATCGGACACCGAAATTTGCTTTACGACTAAAACAATCAGGCTCCGTCCACACTACGCCGGAGGAAATTGAAAACGGTGGTTTCACTCTGAGAATGCATCGAATGTTTTCCGCCCACACTACGCCGGAGAAATTTAAAAGCGCAACATTTACCTGTCATGTTGGATTTGTGTTTGAGTAAACCTCGGGAAGGGAAATCTCATGACTGTCGTGACGTCATCGTTTTCGAAAAGATCCGTTTTCAAAATGTCAAATGTTTTCCGTCTACACGAAAATGAAAAGCCGGCGTTTTGAAATTCCTTCGGTTTGAAGAGCGGCTTCGAAAAGCTTCGTGTTCGTCAAGGATTAGTGTGTGCGGTAGGCTTAACCGCAGAAATAAAGCTGCGTCTTCAAATCTTCCGGCGTAGTTTGGACGCTACCTCAGTCTTCGTTCAAACAATAACGCTAAGATCAAATGCGCCTAGACTTCTCTTTCAATGTTCTCACACCTGTGATCCAGCTGTACCATGAGCATGCGCTTCAATTAGCAACATTCCTTTAAATAGCCGTTCTAATTGTTCATGATTTCCAGGAATCTGGTTGTATGCGATTTTGTTGACGATTCCTCCAGCGATGGGTTGGAACAGATACATTCCCATTCCCTCGAGAGTCAGCTGCCACCCCGACTGGTATTCCCAGGAGCTTTCGGATCAGTTTTACATCATATACCTGGTGACCTTTGGGTTCTTCATCCCTTTGTTTATCATTATTCTGAGCTATGCTGGAGTATACAGGTACACATAGAAATATCCTTTAAGGTGGCTGGCAACAGTTTCCAGCACTTCCCAAGACTTGGAGTTTGATGAGTCGTTATAACCACTTTTTATCAGTTGATACTACAAATATAGTATCATAACACAGTTCAATCATTAGTGAACACGTTATCATTGTCGTGACACAATAGGTTACCATAACAACAATATGACCTGTTAAAAACACCCCTAAAAATACAGCTTTTTTCATCGGGACCAGGGCACAGAAACCAAACTATAGCTCAGGCCACAATTGTGAACTTTATACCCCACCCCACCGGAACCAGCTGAAAATCTTACTCTTTGCTGCATTCAGCATGTACCTACCTGCATATGCCCCCCCCCCTTAGTAGCATTAAACGGTGTTTAGTGGCCTAAATAGATATTTTTTCTCAGGTATATACGAAATACTTCAGTGCACCCAGCGGCAAACGACCCAGCTCAGGGGCAACGACTACGCTCCCGACAGAGGACCATTCGAGTCGTGGTGTGCATGACATTGGCATTCTTCATCAGCTGGTCGCCATATGCCGCAGTGAGCCTTGCAGGCACAGTTCTCGGTCACGAAAGCGTCGCGCCATCCTTTTCCCTGATCCCCGAGTTACTAGCCAAGGCATCGGTGGTTTATAACCCGATCCTGTACGTTCTGCTCAACTCAAAGTTCAGAGTCACCTTGCTGCAGGTGTTTAGCTGGAGCCGCGTCAATGTCAACTCCAGTGACAACGCGGATATAGAGCAAGATGCAACCACCTCGGGCACTGTCGAGATACAGCCCCGAAACAGATCCCATCACCGAGACATGTGAAATGTTCAAGATGCCAGAGTTGACTATTAGTCATTCACAGTCATCACCGTTTTCCCCACGCATTAAAGGAGCTAAGTCACGGTTTGTGCACCTTGAAAAGTTTAGCCTGAGTTTGTCGTTTGTAGTCCGTGTTAATCTTCTCCATCCTTAACCACCCTTGTTCCTTTATGGTTTATTATTATCTCGTTAGTGTTTTTCTATACTAACAAGCTACTATTTTCAGGTTTTCGTCAATTTAAATGTAATTTTGTACGGGGCCAAAATAACTCAAAATACTGTGACCGAGCTCCTTTAATTCAAAGATTTCAGCTTTAATTTATCAACATTCCTTTCAGTTAACCTTGATAGTCGTTATACCAGTCAAAGATTTAAGTACCTCACCAGACTACAAAGCGAACGTAGTTTGGGATCTCTAAGCTTCTAAAGACACATTTAGGTCCAAAGCTTTCAAAAACACTACAAATTAGCCAAATGACACAAAAATAGATATGACCCGGGCTAAAACGTCTAATTTCTCTTTAAAGTCTTATCTTTCTCCTTTGTGACATAACGTAGGCGGGCTAAGGTCAATACTGTCAATACCGATATTTTGGGGTCGCTTCGTGTCAACAAAGGAGCTTGTCTGTGTTGTGTATTCCCCGTGAGACGGTACCTGTAAGGAGATGAGCAAGATGATAGACTCTTCCTTTCGTTTTGTGCAAGAGGTGTGATAGTCTAGTCATCAGCGCATTTCACTCATGCAAGGATCACTGCCGGGGTTCTTGGGAAAGGCGCCTCTTCCCACCCGGGAAACTAAACAAATACTTGGGATTGATGCTAATGCTAATGCTAATCAAATGCTAAAGGATAAATGCTAATGCTAATGGTCAAATGCTAATGGATAACTAGCACTGAACTGGTTTGGTGGCACACCATCCAGGGATAGTAGCGACAGAATAAGTTAGTATTTGGTAAAAACAGAAAATGAAACGGAGCTTTTACCCGAACAAGTCTAACTTGCGATGCAGGTCTGTTGCGTGAGGTGCAGGGGATTTGAGAAATGTTTTTTTAAGACGTCTACTAAGAATAGTCTCACGTTGGTCAATTTGTTAGTTTAGAGCCAAATAGTACTGTAAAATGTTTAGCTTCTACTGTTTGAAACTGGCGCTTACTTTATAAGGAAAAGAAAAAAAAAATCCCTTTCAATTTGGTAATTTTCCGCTAATATTCAATTTAATACTGAGTTGTAAGTTTAAGGCTTCCGGTCGAATTTAACAGCACAGGCTGCCAGTGTGTTGCCTTAGAGTTGACAATGGGACCCGCGTTTTGTTAGGGAGATTAATTTGTGAGTTGGTACTGTGAAATATATAGAGGAATCTTTGTTTACAATGTCTGCCTTGTTACAGAATGATTAACTTTAAATATTGAAAGAGCATGACACCCATTGGCACGATAACTGTCCCACGAGGTTTGGACCCAGTTTGTTAATACCTCTTTGTCTGACTCCGGTTTAAAACCTCAAAATTTTACAGGGAATATAAAGCTCATTTAATCACCCAGGAATTGTGCCGTTTTTGAAAGGCAATATCGAAACATTTCACCAAACTCCGATAACGTGTGGACGGTGAATCTGGATTTTTTTAATCCAATAACGTAGCAAAATCGTATCCAGTCTCTTACCGAACAATAAACCAATATGGCAGCACAACGTGTAGGCCTAGTTTCTCTAGAGTGAATCTGGATACCATCGGATGCGTGCGGACAGGCGAATTCGATTTGAATATGGTACATGTGGACGGGGGAATTTTTTAATCCGGAAAGAAAAAGTTGCAGATTCAAAAATATCCGGATATGTGTAGTTTCAAAAGCTCGTGTTTGGAGTCAATGTTGTCTAGCTGACAAGCCAGAATGTAATTCAAATGATACAACAAAGATACTTACTCCTACAAGAACAAATGAAAATTAATTAACCATGTAATATTGATTGACATATTATTTTTTAAGAATTAAGCATTAATGTCTCAAATGATAACATTCAAGGAAGTTTATAAACAGATAATTAACTAATGTAATTTTAAATTTTGTCTACAACTTTGGGCACGAATAGATGTCAAAGTGTATTTGTTTCTCGATAAGAACGTTCAGAAAGATTTACATAAACAATTTCAAAACTAAATATTTAGTGAAAGTCATTGTATTTAATTATATGATACAAACTAAGTACTCAAATACTCGTCATATTGCGTGATAGTCCCCGGAATATGGCACATTACAGTGGCTTGAAGGCCCTCCCCTTGAAGTCATTTTTATCCCCTCCCCCCTCCGCTACTGCGTGATAGATAAAATAGAGCTCAAGTACTGACGACGGCGACCCCGAGGACAGTGCCTAGTAAAAAATGAATTTATATTTCATCTTCTAGTTTTGCAATGGTCTAGATCTGTTCAGTGCGCATACTGGTCTCAGAACGTGCTCAAACTACCTATGTAACGCCAGTGTTCAATTCCAAATAAAAATTCCAAAAATTAGCCGCCGTCGGTCGCGTTTTCCAAAAACACGCATAACGTAGTCATTTCACGTTGCTGTTTTGCAGAGGACGGCTGAGAAATGTACAAAGATATATAACGCACGCGCACATCCATTGCTCTACTCATTAAACGTTTTGTTTGGTCGCGTTCTCGTTGTCGCTGCCGTCGTGGTTTGCTTAAGCTCTCTAATAGATAGATAGGTACAGTATTGGATTTCATCCAATAGCAGTATAATACTAACTACTTAATAACCGAGAGTGAGGTCGTTACGGGAAAATCTCAAACTGAGGCCTTGCCGTATTGACCGAGCGATAGCGAGGTCAATACGG